CCTCTCCATCCCCCAAATATACCATGAGGCTGAGTCCCATCAGCTTGGCTAGCTAAGCATGTAGCTAAGGACTACACTCTAGAATTCACCTTCTAATTTTACCTTAACTGGCTTTCTTACCTTTTTTTTCTTTAATTGAAGTTTCCTTTTCTTATTCTGGGCCTCGGAAGGCTGGCTTGGGGATTTCTGGGAAAGTTTAGTTTAGTTCAGGACAGAAGAGATTAGAATATTTAATACTGTGCACTGTATTCATCAAAAACTGTGATGACTCTGGGGCAGTGGTTCTCAACCTTGCTAATGCTGCGACCCTTTAATACAGTTCTTCATGTTGTGATAACCCCCCCCCCAACTATATGATTATCTCCATTGTTACTTCATACTATAATTTTGCTGCTGTTATGAACTGTAATGTAAATATCTGCACTTTTTTGATGGTCTTAGGTGGCTCCTGTGAAAGGATCAGTCGACTCCTGGAGGGGTCATGACCCCCCCGGTTGAGAACCACTACTCTGGGGGCAAACTGCTTTTAGACTGGAAAGTCCTAGAATGCGTTGCAGAGGTAGTTGTGGCAGCCTTTGGATCTGGCCAAATTCAGCCCACGACAAAGGGAAGGGGCTCAGACTGCAGTCAAGGCCATCCTCGCTGATGCTTGCAGGCTAACACGACTCAAGACAAACACTCTCCATCTCTTGAATGTGTTAGCCATTTGTGTGATAGTTACATGAGAGTATGCTAACAATGCCTATTATGCACTGGGCCAAAGAGAAACTTTTCATACCCAAATCTCTAAAATGACTAGTGGGTAAAGTCCTCTGGGATAAGAGAAAAACATGGGTACTTTCCACAAACTGCAGACTCCCTTTTATCTTTAATAAAACATGAAAAAACGGCTTCCACTTTACCTCCTTCTTAGCATTCTTCTCATCTTCAGAGCCTTCATTCAGTGTTTCAAGTGATTCTGCTCAGAAGGAAGACAGGGTGACTGCATCACTGGGGCTAGTTACACTTTTAAGTAGGTCAACTCTCAAACTAGATCACATTTAAATTGCAGACACCTGGGGCCTGTGGTCTGACATGCCAGTGGGGTGAATGGTCACTTTCCAAAGCATGTCTAACAGGCTTTAGTTGGAAAACCATGGAACAAGTGCCCAGGACAATTGAAAGACCGGGAGAAAACATCTATTACTTTAATATCCTTGCTATATTACATATTATTATATAATAAAACAGTTATATTAATATGTATTGGGAGTGCCCCTGTAAGCAACAAGGACCTACATGAAAGCAAAAAGCAGTCAATGCTTGCTTTTGGAGCTTTTAGTTAGCAGAAAGTGCAGACAAACCAACGGGAAAACAGAAACAAGGATTTGGTGGACTTGAAATGATCACTCAGAGAGAGAGAGAGATTGAGAAGATAAGGTGCAGTAAGTCCATGAATGGAGAGATATGGAGTTGGTTTGAAGGTCCCAGGCATAAGGGACAGTATGTGAAAATGCCCAAGAATTAGAGATCACTAGGTCTTTTGTTTCAGGGGACCCACGGGTCATTTGGTATATCTAAGGTTTCAAGATTAAGGAGAAGAGATGGTGGGGGCAGAGAGAGCTGATGATAACAGTCCCAGGACCTTAATCCACCGGGACTTGATCTTCTGTCAGCACGAACCCATGAGATGACAGGACTTTATGTCCACAAAAATGCAAAGATTTGGGGGCTGGAGAGATGGCTTAGCAATTAAGAGAACCGGAGTTTGGTCCCCAGCACCCATGCTGAGCTGTTCACAAAGGTCTACAACTCCAGCTCCACTGAGCTCTTAATTGTTTGCCTACTTTGGGCACTGACACACACATGCACATACCCACACACAGGCACGCACCATATATGCTTAATTAAAATGTATTGAAAAGTTTTGAGAGTGTATATCATTATAACATATAACATAATACAGATAAAAGTTACTTAGAATTAACAACATAGTATTGGTAGTTTCACTTGACATACAACACAGGTCTTTTTCACTTTGTAACTTGGATATTTATTGTTTTAATGATTATGTAATTTTCAATCTTGCTGATTAAATTGTTAATTAAATAGTAATTTATTATACAGTTTTACTGATCCTAATTCTCCTTTAAGTGTTTGCAACATTGAACATTCTTTCTTTTTCTTCCTTTTCCCTCCTCCTTACTCTCTCTCACCCCCCCCCCCATAGGTCTCTAGGTGCTGAGATTATAGCCATTTGCCACCATGCCTGGCTTAATATTTCATTCTCAATGTATATTTCTTTTGTGAGTTGTCCTTTGACAATTTCTTTTTTTCCTCGATCTATGAATTCTTTATTCCATTATCATAATTTCTTGATTAGTAATATTGTTGCCAATAGTCAGTATTCTAAAGTTACTTTCTATATTTCTAAATTTAGAACATAATTTATCCTTTAATCAAATAATGTATTGCTATTTATTTAATTATGTAGTTATTAATTCATTAAAATATATCCTAAACAAAATTGGCAATTCTTGTTGATAAATTATTAGTAGTATTTTTTTCTTCTTTCTTTTTTTTTGGTTTTTTGAGACAGGGTTTCTCTGTGTAGCTTTGCGCCTTTCCTGGAACTCACTCTGTAGCCCAGGCTGGCCTCGAACTCACAGAGATCTGCCTGCCTCTGCCTCCGGAGTGCTGGGATTAAAGGCGTGCACCACCACCGCCCAACAGTAGTATTTCTTTTAGATAGCACCTTTGTTACATAGCTCATATTGGTGATGAATCTGTAAATCTCCTACATCATTCAATTGATGAGAAATTGTAGTTCCTACAGAATCCAATTTGCTGTGGTTTAGTTTTTATCATGTGAAATTTGTTTAAAGAATAGGCTTTCTACCAACACTATCCAGTAATTCATGTGTCTGCTATTCAGAATATAAATCATATTTTGCTGTTATTGATAGATCTAACATTTTTTTGGGGGAAGGGCTAGCCACTCTGTCTATCACTTTTTAAATTATTTTGATAATTATTCAGGCACATACTTATAGATAAAACACTAATGTTTCTAAGTGTAACTCTGATATTGGATCTTGGATACTAGGATGTTTGATTTTGACTTCCACCACAAGGTAACTTGATAAAGAACACCTGGGGGGCGCAGTTAATAAAGAACACTCTGGGTGTGTCTGTGAAAACATTTCCAGAGATGATTAGGTCTGTAGGGTTGTAAGCATTCAAGTCCAAGGAACAGGACCTCCCGGCTTCCTTCACCAGCAGTAGTCAGTTTGTAGCAGCAATAGGCTCCTTCAAATACTGCCTCATTCCTAGCCCAGAAGACAACAAAGCCGAGCTTTTTATTCAATTTCGCCTTCTCTGTCTCGTAACTTACATTTTGCTTGGTGCTTTGAACTCCTGGGCAAGGAGAGTAAAAGAAGTTGGAATGTGGAGGGAGGGGAAAGGCGTTTGCAGGAAAGATGTGAAGTTGCAGGTACTTAAGGGTACTGACCAGTGCTAACATCTGTTTCCTGTTTCTTTCCCTTGCCTGGGGGTGTGAGGTACCAAGGTGGGTCTTGGTATGTGGGATATATTGTCCTGGCTGTTTTAGGTTTCTCTTTTGTTCCTAGATGCCATAAAGTAAAAGAAATGTCTACTTTGCCTCAGGAACCTGGTTCCATGATGTTATAGGTCCCCATCCTTCCCCCCATACAAACCTATGGCAACAGGGAAGGCAAGGAACAGGCAGAAACCATGAGCCAAAACGGAGTTCTCCTCCTGTGAGTTTACTTCAGGCTTTCATTATAGTGACGGGAAATTTCACATGTCAAATATGGCACATGAAAGAAGCCCGCAGTACTCTAGATAGAATATTCCCAAATGCAGGCATCACTGCTTTTATGAAAAGTAAGTTCTTATAATTATGCTCAAACATCTAGCTCACCTTTAAAGTCTGGTTTCATTGAAGTTCTCTGAGGTGGTACATACTTTTTTACATTCCATCTGAATTTTCGTACAGCAACTGAAGTTTGAATAATCATTACTTTTGTGAACTCTTCGATACCTTGTATCTGAAAGTTAACGGAATATACGTTACTTTCTGAATGTGTGTTGCGCAGTTACATGTTACTCTGACAAGCTGGTTTTCTAGGTCCTCAGCCTTCTGTCTGCGGGGATGACCAATATTAGGCACTATGCCTCGTCACACCCACTCTTCTTTGATGCATTTGGGCGTATTATTTCAGATAGCCTTTATGATAACAGCACTAATACAGTGTGCCTTATTTCAATAGATGAAGACCAAACCATACTAAATATGCCGCTGATTATTCTAACAGAGCACTTGAAATACATTGTTTTTACTAACCATCAGAAATTGGCAGGTTTTGCCTGTTATATGATTAATGACAGGTGGGCCACTATTGATGACATCTTTAGGATGAAGTACTGCTCAAAGTCATTCTTAAGGATGTTTGGATACAGATTAAATCTGGTGAGTACTGTTGAAGATGATCATTCACAATAAGTGTTTTTTGTAAGCACCATTTAGCATCTACTCCACTTTTGAGATGTTAGGAGCTGGTAGGGCCATTCGCATTTTGAATGACAGCTGACAGTCTCTACCTTACGCTCTGTAGTCTTGCGTTCAGAGCTGTCACACCCACAGCTTCTGCTCTAGTAACTCCTGTGATCACTCCGAGAAAACTCCACTCTGGCTGCATGGACGACTGCTACCATGGCTGCTGTTCAACCATGGCTTCAGCTCTTGCTTAAGGAGGCCTCGCTCTGACCAACCACCTCTCCAGGCAACTTGCATCAGCTTTACAACATCCCACTCCAGGCAAAACAAGCCTTTGTCAACTCGAGGTGACCATGTTCATCCTGCAGCTATTCTCACAGAGGTCAGGAGAGGGAGCCCTCCCCAGGGCCTCTGGACAAAACTTGTAATTGGTCATGAAAGAGATGTGATTGGTGTATATGAGAGGGCTGTGATTGGTGGGACCAGAAGCTATGCACACAGGACTGTGATTAGTAAACTACAAAGGTGCCCTATCCCCTTCTAGCGATCTAAACAAGCTATCTTCCTGCCTCGTCAAGTCGGCCTGGAAGGCTTCTCGCCTGTATATTCTCCCTTAGCATTGGAACACTGGGTGCAAACACTCTCCCCTGCTTGTGGTCTTATTGCGGAGACATCCATCAGAGAGAGCTGAGAGAAGAGGAGACAGGACCCTGAGAGCAGGGGCAGCACGTAAGAGGTCACTGAAGAACTGCAGACAACAGTGAAGGTAGGAACCTTACAAACTGAAGATGGGAATGGGTGACTGACATTGCAAATGCTGTGAAGAGCCAAAGGCAGAAACTGAAAAAATCGAAGACGGCAGGCTGTGGTTGCTAGGAGACCAAGGATTATGGAGTTAAGAGTCCTGACATGCAGATCTCACTACAGTAAGCGCCCCCAGCTTTGAATGCTCGGAGCTATAAAGCCCCTGGTTCTCAGGGCATAGACCTGCAAATCTCTGGGTCTGAAAGCCCATCTGTCAATCGCTAGAACTCAGAGCTGTCACTCCTAGGGGAGCTGCTACATGAGGATCCATGATTTCCACCCAGGTGGCAGGAATATTCACAGGCTGTATTTTGACAAGATGGGATTCACTCAGTAGGTGAAGGGAATAAGCTGTATCAAGATCATCGTGAACGGGAAGAAAACAGGAGTTAGGAAATCAAACAAGAAAAAAATGCAATCATAAAGTTACTAGCACCCCAATGTTTGACGAATGTCAGCAAGCTGAGAGTATTTTTGTGTCTATCAGCTTTCCATTTGGAAGAAACTCATCCAAAATAAAACAAGCTTTCTCAAAATTAGTGATAATAATATCACCCATGGCCAGGACTGCTGTGGGATGGTCTGTATGTCAAATGTGTTGCTGATTGGTCAATGAATAAATCACTGATTGGTCAGTGGCCAGGCAGGAAGTATAGGCGGGACTAACAGAGAGGAGAATTGAGAGAACAGGAAGCTGGGTGAGGGAGACACTGCCAGCCGCCATCAGGACAAGGAAGATGTAAAGTACCAGTAAGCCATAAGCCACGTGGCAAGGTATAGATTAATAGAAATGGATTAATTTAAGCTGTAAGAACAGTTAGCAAGAAGCCTGCCACGGCCATACAGTTTGTAACCAATATAAGTCTCTGTGTTTACTTGGTCGGGTCTGAGTGGTTGTGAGACTGGCAGGTGAGAGAGTTTGTCCTGACTGTGGGCCAAGCAGGAAAACTCTAGCTACACAGGACGCTTGTTAAGGAATTCCAGTTAGCAATGTGCTCTCTCTAGGGTGACAAGTTCACCTGACCCAACCTTCAATAATGGCCTGAAGATACAGACTAGCAGGTCTTTGTAGGTGGTTTTCAGCTCTCGTCAATCCAGGAAGCTGATAAAACAGTGTGAATGCGTTCTTGTATGATCCCCACCCTCTACATCTCACAGGGGTTGCACACTTCTCTGGTGACTGGGACACAGTAAACATTGCCTGGCGGCTTGCTTCTTATCCCTGTCTCAAGTCTGTCCTGGGAGTACATCCACCCCAGCTGTTAGCTATGATTAGACATCAGTCCCTGTCCACTTTCACGAGGTTGACATCTTGTGGGTAGTTTCGGTTGTCTTGCTCGCTTTGGCATTCTAGCACCGTTTCTGCTGTATTGCAGCTGCTTAAAAATGAATTTGAATGTATCTGTGGCTGAGGGAATTGATGTCCCGGTTCCTCTACCTAATTCACTTTCTGTGGTTTTATTTTGTATGCCCCTAATTCCTTGTAGTGTGTGCCTCTTGTACTCTCTACCATGTACAAATGCACACCCACACACTCACAAAGTTTCTCTTGGATTTTGCATATGGCTCAGGTTCTCCTTTTGAAGTCGTAACAGTTTAAATGGAAAGTGGTCATTTTTATATACACTTTCTGAGCCAGAGGAAAACGTCTGCCACTCTATTTAGTGGGGTTTGTCAGAACCTTCTAGAATACTGTTGATACAGTCATTCTGAAATGTGTGAATGAAACTAGTAGGTCCTCTTTTCCTATGTGCTGCTGCGCTAAAATGTAACCGTGAACAAAGTTCTATACCTTGCTGTGTTTCAATGGCAGTGGATGGAAAAAGCTTGCATCTAGGCCACTGAGTGCAAAACAGTCAACAAACACTGTGTATGTGAGTACACATGGATGTGGATGAGTATGAGACTGTGGGATGGGAGGAGGAAAGGAGGAGATGGGAAGGTGAAAAGCCTGACTGTTGTGACAATTTTTCCTGTATTAATTCATCGTTGGGGGAAAGACTTATTTCCTACCTGGTAGCATGTCACAGGAATTAGGAAAGGTGCCTTATAAATTTTTCGCAACTGGCAGTCTTCCACAGATCCATGGATTAGGACAACGTGGGTTACAGTCTCGTCGTAGATGTCAGTTTTAGTGGTCTTGGGTATGTCCCTTATGAAGACGTTGCAGAGTTTCAGCTGCATCTTGTAGTTCCAGTCCTTAAGGAGAAGCACAACTTCATTTGCTGTTATTTGCTCACCGTCAATTTCCGCCAACATCTCTGTGCAGGTTTGCTGGGGAACAGGGGTAGGTAGGAAGAATTCAGAAAGGCTCTCTTACCTCAAAAGATAAGTGTTCCCGGATCTTTTGGGCAGTAATGCCAAGTCCAATTTTTTGCCACATTTTTTGTTTCATGATAGGGTATTTTTTCTCAAAAGCTTCATACAAGTGATGGATGGGAATGAAATATGTCTGAAAAAAGGAAGATAGAAACTAAACAATTTGTGCATACCCATGGCTGAAGTCTCCATACAGTGACAATCAAGCTAAGAATTAAGATGCATGTTACAGTCCAGAAATCTCATAAAACATTTATTGGCTCATACTTGTAATCTTGCCATTGCCACAATTCTAGAAAGCCTCATGAACCAACAAGGACTCTTCAGTTTGTTTTTTCTTTGAAACTGTGTGCTGTGGATATCATTCTGTATAAATAAAACACTGATTGGCCAGTGGCCAGGCAGGAAGTATAGGCGGGACAAGGAGAGGAGAGAATGCTGGGAAGTGGAAGGCTGAGTCGGGGAGACACTGCCAGCCGCCGCCATGACAAGCAGCATGTGAAGATTCTGGTAATCCATGAGCCACGTGGCAAGGTACAGATTAATAGAAATGGGCTGAATATAAGAGTAAGAGCTAGACAATGATAGGCCTGAGCTAATGGCCAAGCAGTTTAAATAATATAAGCGCCTGTGTGTTTATTTTTATTTTTTTATTTTTTGGTTTTTCGAGACAGGGTTTCTCTGTGTAGCTTTGCGCCTCTCCTGGAACTCACTTGGTAGCCCAGGCTGGCCTCGAACTCACAGAGATCCGCCTGGCTCTGCCTCCCGAGTGCTGGGATTAAAGGCGTGCGCCGCCACAGCCCGGCCTGTGTGTTTATTTTATACGTAGGTTGTGGGACTGCGGGGCCTTGGTGGGACCTGGAGAGAAGCTCTCCAGCTACAACTGTGTGTCTTTCGAGGTGTCATCTGATGTTTACACATCATGAAATTATATCAACCTAAATACCAGTCATCATTTTACATATTTAATTTTATTCTTTTCATTAGCGAATAATAGCAATGTCTGCTAATGAGACACAAATCAAGCTAATTAACATAGCTCCACCTTATCAACTTACGATGTCGTCATGTCAAGGACATTGCAAATCTGTTCTTTTAACCATTTCCACTCATATATTGTTATTCCTGTGTTCACCACGCAGTGCTACAGAACACTAAAATACATTCTTCTAGTAAACTGAAGCATGTCCTTGACGACCACCTCCCCTTCCCCTTGCCATCCACTTCTGGTGACCACCCCTCTGTGCTCGCTAAGACAAGTCTGCTGCTTTACATTCTACACGGAAGTAAAAAACATGCGCTGGTTTCTATCTGTCCCTGATTTGTAATATTTGCACAGTTTTCTTCAAGATCATTCATGCTGTTGCAGGAGTGGAATGGAATCTCATTCATTAAAATGCTGCGTTACTTTAATTAATTTACTTAATTACTCCATAATTTAGTTACTTTTTAATTTACTCCATAAATTAGTTAATTTACACACATGCCATGGCACACCTGTGAAAATCAGGGCACAACCTGCAGGAGAGTCTCTCCTTCCACCAAGGGGGGTCCCAGTGGAACTCGGGTCCTCCGCCTTGGTGGCAGGTGCCTGCACCATTTGATCCACCTCTCTAGCCCATCATTCTTTTCAGAGGCTGAATAACATTTCACAGTACATATGTTTTCCTAAACCGTGTATCAGATGCTGGGCACTCAGGCTGTTTTCACTTCCTGTCATGTAGGTAACGCTGCAATTAACATGGGGAGTAGGTGTTTCTCTGCAGCATCCAGATTCCTTTTCCTGTAGACTTTTTATATTAATTTTCCCACTCCATGCACATAGGCTGTCTTCCCACCCTTTGGTGTCCTCCATGCCTTTCATCAGTATTTTGTTCTTATTGTACAGATCCTTCCTTTCTCTGGGCAAACATATTCCTTGGTAGCTAGTATAAATGTGATTGCTTTGTTGGCTTCTATTTCAGATGATTCGCTATTAACATGGAGTAACACTACTTGTTTTTGTATGAATTTGTTTGCTAGTTCTATCATTTTCAGGTGGTCTTGGGGTATATTCTCTGCAAAAGGCCATTGCACCTTCAGTGACAGTTTGATTTTGTCCTTTCCAAATTGGATACCTTGTATTTATTTCTTCCTCTTGCCTGTTTTTTCTGCCTCAGACTCCAGTATTCTGTTGAATGAAAGTGATGAAAATGTCACCCTTGCCTCACTGTGACAGCAGACAGAGACCTTTCAGTTTTCTCCTTTCAGTATGATGTTAACTTTGCACTACATCTATGTATATGTATATATATATATATGTGTGTGTGTGTGTGTGTGTGTGTGTGTGTGTGTGTGTGTGTGATATATGTGTGTGTGTGTAATCTGCATATATGTATAAACCTGATTTAATGTTTGCTTATTATCCTTATATTCCTAATTCTTCAGACTGTTTATCATGAACTGATAAGAATTTTATAAAATGTTTATTTGTGATGGATCTTGTGATTTTGACTTTTACTCTGTTGATGTGGTAGTTCCTCACCTTAACTGACTTGTAAATCTTCAATCATATTTGCATACTTGAGATCTATCGTATTTAAATGTAGTGAATGATCTCTTTGATATGTGTCTTTGGGCTGCTAGCACTATTCTGTATATTTT